ATATGTACATGTATAAATAATAAAAATAATAATAATAATTATAATAATAATAAATAATAATAATGCTGTAAAGACAAATATACAATGTTAAAAGCACCGAACGTAATGTTCAAAGCACCGAACGTTATGTAAAAGCACCGAACGTAATGTTAAAAGCACCGAACGTAATGTAAAAAGCACCGAATGTAATGTAAAAGCACCGAACGTAATGTTAAAAGCACCGAACGTAATGTAAAAAGCACCGAATGTAATGTAAAAGCACCGAACGTAATGTGAAAAGCACCGAACGTAATGTAAAAGCACCGAACGTAATGTTAAAAGGGCCGAATAGCAAATGCGCCGAACGGAAAAGAGCCATCAAAGGCAGTAACGGCGTTCCATAGAGTGGAGTTTCATGTAAATGTTTCGTACGGGAAAAAATCGCGGCCGGCGAAATCCACTCAAGCCGTTTATCCACAACAGTTTGTAGAGGGCGTTCTGTCGTCGAGCGGAACGCTTTTTCAGTCCGAGTGGACTCTCTTCTGTTATCCTCTTTGTTAGACAGTCGAGTGGATAGGCGAGCGGCCGAATAAGAAATTTAAAGGTGTGGTATCCTCCTGCCCCTCGAGGCTGTTGCGTGTGATATTGAACTGTAATTATGTTAAGTTACAAAGAAAGAAAACAGCGTAGATTGTCAGGGTAAAAGTTTTGAGCAATCATGTATTTGTTTCTCTGGGCCTATGTAATTGTAAGCCTAATACTAGGCCTACTTGTCGATTGTTGTACTGTAGTGTAGTAGGGGAGCAAGGCCTAGCTAGGCCCTCTTTTAGGGAGCTTTCGATTGCTCGACGACGGCAGGACGTCGTAGAACGTAATGACATCACTAAAAGTCATCTGCGCATGCAAGAACGTTAAGGTCATGGATTATGACCGGTTGAGCCGCCGACAAGTTGAACCGCCGGTCATTTCTATGGAACGCCTAGCGCGTCTCTCAGTGAATGTAGTGCGTTAATTGCGGCGTATTTCAATTAACTTATTTGTTCTTGGTACTGTTGTTTGGGATGTATTTCAGTTTATTTACTCAATTATTTCAATTTATTTAAAGCCCCATTCCCGGCAAAATTTCACTAAAAATTGACTTTTTTTAGAAAATATGCATTTGCATTACTCCAATTATTATAAATCATGCAAAATTTCACTAAAAATTGACTTTCTTTAGAAAATATGCATTTGTATTACTCCAATTATTATAATCATTGAAAAATATTGGCATGAATTTTAGTTTTACGCAAAAGAATAAAAAAAATGAGAAATACAGACTATTTCTCATAAAATATTACCATTTTCTGGACGAATTCATCGTTACTAGGCAAATTCAGAGGTTGTAGATCGCATCCACTGGAATACTCTCGCTTTTATGTATACTTTATACAGTCAATAAAGTGCGCCCTCTCTAATGAGATAAGTTTTTTACTTCGCATCTCGCACAATGCGGTCGTTCGTTTAGGCTGAGATAGGCCTATGTTTGTTTAAGTGTCAAAATCTCAGTCAGAATCAGTTTTTTTAACAAATTTAAAATAATAATTCCTGTGAAATATTATATTCACAAGTGTCAATACTAGCAACTGAAAATATCATGTCGGCCGTTTTTATGTGTGATAACAGAACCTAAATCGAGGTAAGGCTAGGCCTAGCCTAGCAGCGTTGGATAGCCTAATGTTTTCGGCGCCTACGATATTTCTTCTCACGACCTATTGCAAAATCAACATGAAAAATTCATCCGCATTTATTTTTTGTGTGGAACACAAAAAATCAAATATCAGTCTTATTTTACATTTTTTTCATTCTTAGGAATGTCTAAATTCAGTTAAACTACCAATTCCGTATTATATTTATAAATCTTTATAACATTATACAAAAATTTGATTTTTCTTAAAAACTGAAATTTTGCCGGGAATGGGGCTTTAATACTCGGTTTTTGCACTGATTTATTAAATATTTTTGGGACGTATTTCAATTTATTTACTTGTTCTTTCTATCGTTTTAATTTAAATTTTGTGAGTATTTGCTCAGTCAGCTTGCCAGATAGTAAAAAAAAAACTCCATACATTCTTATCATTTATTATTATATATAAGTTTAACAAATAGTACAAAAATAAAAATATATAAATTACAAAACCATAGTAAATACTCTATAACAACATAGGCCTAACACATTTAAATTTATTGTTTATAGTCATCTGTCTAATTCAGTCGGCTTGCCAGATAGTAAAAAAAAAACTGCATACATTCTTATCATTTATTATATATATAAGTTTAACAAATAGTACAAAAATAAAAATGTATTAATCACATTAATTTAATTGAATAATTTAACAAAATAGTACAAATAACGAATAAGTTAATTGAAAACGCCTCAAACCAAACGTAAAAAATAATCAAGTTATTACATTTTTAATACGATTTTGCATGACTATAAACAATAAATTTAAATGTATTAGGCCTATGTTATTATACAGTATTTACTATGGTTTTATAATTTATATATTTTTATTTTTGTACTATTTGTTAAACTTATATATAATAAATAATTTAATTAAATAATTTAACAAGATAGTACAAATAACGAATAAGTTAATTGAAATATGCCGCAAACCAAACGTTAATAAACACATTTTTAATACGATTTTGCAATTATACAACTTAATTTATTTTTATAAAAATGTAGTACATAAAATTACATTTTTAATACGATTTTCCAATTATACAACTTCATTTATTTTTATAAAAATGTAGTACAAAATAATCAAAATTCTAACTTTTAATTACACAATTATACATCACGAACGGCAATACGAGCAAATCAACGACTGACAAGACTGGGATGAATATGTAGCTGGTATCCGGGGGGTTCATTCACTGATGACATCGGCAAGCCGACTACATTCACTGAGAGACGCGCTTGGCGTTCCATAGAAATTACCGGCGACTCAACTTGTCGGCGGCTCAACCGGTCATATCCCAAGGTCATCTCGTCAAGTAGATTCTGGAACGCAATTTGGCCAAATCTAGCTAGGTATGCAGAGAACGTACGTAGGTCGTCAGGTAGGACGGTCACGCATGAGTGATTCCATCCTAGCGTCGCGTCGTCGCACAAATCGAAAGCTCCCTATAGGCCTAGGCTATAATGATATCTAGGCCCCTACCTAGGCCTAGCCTAGCCTAGTGGTAGTAGTAGTAAGTACGGTAGGCCTTTGTTCAAGTTCTCCCGAAACACAGTACATATAGATTGTTGTTGTTTTGGAATTCCTGCGCACGCACAGATCCATCCATGCTACATCTTGGAAGCTTTACCAGCCTCACTGATGCTGGTAAAGATTACCGAGACGTTCTAAGATTTTACAAGGATATTACACGGAGGTACTTTCACACGTACCGTAAAATGTTACTTTTGGTTACATTTGGTAAGATTTTTGTACATGTGAATCAGGTATTAGTTTCCTTTTTAAAGAAAACTTCATAGGCCATCCTTGCATTATCTTTTATTGTTATTGTTTATATCCTGCCGTTGTGCGAATTTTTTTTGTTTTGTACAATATTTTGATGATGTGAAATAAACTGAACTGATAATACCAAAATATTTGAATCAGAATTCTTGAAGTGTTGCCATTATTTTGGTTTATTGCCTTTATGGTTTGATGCTGTTATTGATTTATTGCCGCATTGACTAGGCTAGGCTTTGACAAAAAACTGGGGAACGGTGAACAAGATACAGATTTTTGAATATTTAAAAACCGGGGGAAAAGGGGGCGTAACCGCCCATTTTTACACCTTTTTCCCCC